AGTCCTGTGGGAACAATGCTCCGTCCTCTCGAGGACGCGTGGTCAACGGTCTAACCGCTAAGGCATGCAAAACATAAGAGTACGCCCCCCCCCCCCCTCAGCGCCTCTGGAGGGTACATAGGTGTCAGAAGACAGTTTTTTCCGGCACGCACATAATCCCCAAAAGGAAAAACAACGAGGGTCGAGGAACATTTACATTTCCTTGTTAGCCTGGAGGGTGCGTATCCTTCCGCTGCGTCGTTTGCCCTGGCTTGAGCCCCTCCCCTTTGGCTTCCGACGCAAACGCGTAGAACGCCTTGTCTTTGTCGACATCATCCAATTCATGTTGGCCCTCAAAGTACGAATGGAACGCGTTGGAGTTCCTTCCATCTCCCTTGCTGCAGAGGGGGGTTGGTGCATTCTTCTCGCATTCAAAATTGACGGAAGCATCGGAAAGGTGGAGGAAAAGAAACTCCAACGGTTGAATTCGTCACCCCCGGCTGGTGAGTCCTACAGTATAAATGCTGAAAGGTGGCGCCCAGAGTAAGTGGGAAGAATACAACCACAACAACCTTATGCTATTATTGAGTGTTACGTCATAATGTCTGCGTCAAACATCTACCGAAAAGTGTAGCCTGACGCCCAAAATGATCGGAGGGACGAACACAAGACATTCTTCCTTTAGAGTGCGCCAAGTGTAGCAGTCCATTCACAAACACGGGTTGGGTTGCCACCAGCAAGCACCCTTCATCTTTCCTCCCCGTTTCACCACACGAACGGAACCAGAGCCTTTCTTCCTGCCGGGTAGCCTTCGCGAAACTTTTCGAGATACCAAAGGTGGTGCTGTCGAGGTAGGGGCCAACCGCAGGCATATTCGCGCGGGAGGGCAGAGCGGAGGGGGGTTAGGTACTCCTATTCACTATTCATGTTTCAGTATGACGTCGCTTTCGATGAGACTTTCGTCAACAAGTGTTCGCATTATGGAGGGAGCAATTATTTTCCGACAACCACTCAAGTAAATCGAAAAGAACACAACGACGCTTGCCTTCAATGATGCTTGGCATCAACGGTTCGCAACGTCAACGATGCTCTCGACATCAGATCAGTGAGTCTCCACGTCAACACTGCTCTCGACATGAACGACGCTCGACGTCACACCAAGTCCTTCGAGAGCAGTGTTGACCAACCTGGTACGTCAAACGACCACCTTGCTTGGCAACATGCATCGTAACGAAAGGACTCGGCTCAGGCGTGGATGAGGTCATGTTCCTTCCAACATTGTAACACCACGTGCTCGCAAACAAGCACATACGTACTTGTATTGCATCTACTGTAAGGCAGAGTGAGTATGAAATGGACGACACGAAACAGATCCCAGCAAGTGGATGGAGCGCATCAGATCACACACACAACGAAAGGCGAGAACCGTATGATGTATGATACACCCCCCCCCCCTCATGTACGAGGGGTAGGCAACCCACGGAATGGGTCAAGGTTGTAGAGGACGTATGGAAGGGGTTAGACATCGACGAAGATGAAACGCTGGAAACGGAGGGTCTACAGGGGTTCAAGGAGAAGATATCTGTTGCTTGTGCCGAGAGAGAAGAACAGAATATAAGGAAAGAAACCGAGGATAAGGAGGGTCTAGAAGTGTACCGAATGTTGTGAAAGAGGGAATAGGGTTCAAGGGTTACCTACATGGACCAATGGATGCAGGGACAAAGCTTAAGGTCAAATTCAGGACCGGGGACATAGGCCTTAGAGAACGTCGACGAAGACATAGGACGGTAGACGACGAAGATGACAAGTTCAAGTGTGATTGCGGCTTCGAGTGCGAAGACCGTGTTCATGTAGTCGCGGAATGTCCGTGGTACAATACGGAGAGGGAAGTGTACATGACTGAGCTGGGAAAAATACAAGGGAGGTACAGGGAGATGTTTGAGGCATGGAATAGAGAGGAGAGGACGGTAGCTGTACTGGGGAGTAGGAAGTGGTTTGAAAAGGCGGGAAGTGATATCGAGGATAGGCAGACTAGGGAAGACATTTTTGAGCCACCTTTGGTAAAGTAGGAAGGAACGATTGGCCATCGGTGATCGGTCCTGTGGGAACAATGCTCCGTCCTC